AGCCAAATATTTTCAAATGCTTCAGATCGTTTTGCATATTTTTTGAAGATGTTTTCCACGAAAATGTTCGAGGAATTATTATCTTTATTTTGTTAATGATATTTTCTCTATACTCTTTCATTAATCATATTGTTGAAAACATGCTTCTGCTTGATTAATTAATTGAAAGGTAATGAGAGAAAATGTTACGCTGTTTCTTCAGATGACATGAGATTATGTTAATAAATGTATTGGAAATTCTTTTCAACCTTTCCCTCAAATTACTAATACGTTGGCCAATTTCAGAAGCAATTTCTCCAAGCAGTGATATCATGTCACAATCAGTTTTGCGAATATAATATATATACTATATGATACTAGGTCTTATTCTTCAATTATTTGAACATGAATGTTGGCGATGAATATGTTTGCAATATTTACATTGTATGAACTGATTGTATCAACTTTGAGACAAACACTTGATAAATAGCTTTTCAGGGCATCAATGTACGAGTTTTGAGATAATGCCAATTTGTTCCACCATTTCATTAAATGTTATATGTTGTGGTTTCATGATCAGTAAGATTTATGTAAAGCCAAATATTGGTAAATCCATTTACATCGCTAAACATATCGGTACTAAGGTTAGAAAGTTTACTTAGGAGGTTAACATAGTACAAGAAGAACAATCCATCACAGAAAGGTGTAAACGAACCCTGAGCGATATCTTCTTAATTTTATAATATCTGATTTCAAAATTGCTTCTTGTAATCCATCCATTTGAAGTTGCTCTATACCAGCTTTTCATTCTACTCCTTGGAGAAATATTGTGATTTTTTGACATCAGCTGTTCCTCTTATCCCGTGGGCGGGGGCAGGGTCGGGGTCCGGGCCGTCGCGCGAGGCAAGGCTGCTGAGCCAGAAGGCAAAGCAGTGGGCGCTCCGGGGTGGCCTTGTATAAGGCCGTTTTGTGGCTGGTCACTGCTCACGGGTTGCAAATCCGGAGGGGTCCCAGGCGTTCCAGTAATATCTGATTCTTGTTTAGGCTTTACTACGGGTACTAATAGTCTATCCCCATCGGTCTGAAAGAGAATACGGTTTCTGCACAAAGCTGAAAACTGCTCCCTACTGGCTTCAGAGAGTTGGCAATGTTTAATTGCCTCATCAAGTTTAAGGTCCGGAACCCTGAGCAAACGTTCCTGCAAGTTTTCGTCCCTAATGCACAGAACTAGGCTGTCCCTTATTAAGCTATCCTCCTGCTCCCCAAAGTCACAAAAGGACGCAAGTTTTCTCAAGTACTGTATGTCAGAAAATGTATAAAGGGCTCGGACTCTTTCTGAATTCTTTTGAAAAATAAAAACCTTTGGTAAACAATATTCTTGCGACGGTTAAAATACTTTAAAATCCAAATAATGTACATCGTTCAATTTTAGTTTATTAACTTCCCCCAACTTAAAAGTTTGAAAAATGGCCAATTCCTGTTGAATTTATAGGCTTCCAATGATAACATCAGTATCCTCGTCGTGATCAAATAACCTTAAGTGTCCCCAACTAAACCTACCATTAAAGACCGCAGTGCTCTGTGGAGTTAGGTAAAGTATGATAATTATTCAGATAACTATACAAAATAGCCTAACCCAACTCCGCAGAGCCCTGTACATTGTACAATGGGTAAGGTCTACGATTTGGGGGCACAACGGATTTTGAACCATAATTCATTAGCTTATAATAGCTTCTTGTATCCTTTTATTGCATGTTACTATAGAAAGCAATTAAAAAATCCCCTGGTCGGTATTCAACATGACCAGTCACTTGTTTCCAGGCATGCACTTTGTAGAGCAGTTTGTTATAGCACGGCCTCACGTGATAGGCCAGTGTTTCAAATATCGAAGAGTGGGAGGGACGCTACCGTTTTGCTAAGGAAATTTCCTTCTCGAAGATATTCTATTTTTTCGTTTGATATAGTTGTGGATGAGGAAAACTCTACAAACTACTCTACAGATTTTTTAAATGGTTTAAAATAGTCTGGAGAACCATCTCACAAACCCAAATTAAAAATTTGGTGCAACTGTGCCACGGATGCGTAGCTTGGATGCAACAAGGCTTTGCTATGGTAACAGATTGGTTAAACATACTGAAATGTGATTTGGTTAGTGCCTGCCTTATGACAGGTTGCGCTTGAGAGGAAAACCTTATAATCACACGAATACTCATGATCCCAACGAATCTTTAATTTTAACATAATTCAGTTACCCTTAAATCTCGCATTTGATACTACCGTCAACAAAGCTCAAGGCCAAACTATAAAGTCTGTAGGTTGTATACACCTGCAGAAAGGCGGGTTTAGTCACGGGCAACTAAATGTAGCCTGTTCACGAGTCTCAAGTGAAAAAGAAACATTTTCATATATTGTGTCGTATATATTTTATATCATTACTTTTTATTTATTTATACTAACCAATCATCTATTCAAAATTACGTTATATCTACAGTAATAATTAATTAATTGTATCTACTTATACATGTTTCAACCCATCGAACCAGTGCAAGGAGCAAAATTGTAGAAGTTTGCTTTAATCATGGAATATATAACGTTACGATTTTGGATAAAAACGAATCAGATCCCTTAACATTAGATGCAGAAGGTATAAATACTCGTAGCTTATTTATAAAATTGTTGACATTATTAATACTAAAATTTACTTAGATTACAATACGTTACAAAATGTATCTAAATTAATATCACATACTTTACATAACATTGGTTCGAATAAAACATTGATAAAATGTATGATTAGTAATAATAATGATCATATCTTTGGCAAATTTTATTCATGAGAAGAAGCCATCTATTTTACAAAGCCAAGACTAATACCTTACTTAATTAAGCATAAATTAGAGAATGAACTAAACCGGCTGAAAGGATAAAATATTATAGAAAAAGTAACGTCCGCGGATTTGGGGAACCAGAGAATACTTTTAGTGGATTACTAAAAGTTAATCAGCCTAGATCTATGGAACATAATAATAATTCTCTTAATTGTTCTCTTCCTGTTGCGAAGCAGGAGTGACTGCTAGTGTGCCTTATTATTGAGAAAAAAAACAACAAGTTAAATGGGTATGTGCATAGACCTATATTACAATTTTCCAAACTTACTTAAAGCTGCAATTTTTAACCTATCGACAAATAAAGCCTTTTAAAGTAACAATATGACACAAAAGTAAGAAGATCCACGAAGTTAATTTTTTTTTTTCGCAGGGATAAATATTGGGCCTTATATGTAAATCGAACAATTTTTCTCCTGCCCAAACTTTTATCCCTAATGTATCCCTAAGCTAACCCATGTGTATCAGTAATCTGCCCCAAGACGACGGTCAACTCGGGGGATTGACCCTGGATCTACAAAATACATCTCACCTTCGCATATAAATTGCATTTGAAGATTCCTTTGTATAACAGATTTAATTGTCAGCCGAAAGGCTACGTAGTTGAAACACTATTCCCAGTTACACTTGTCAATTTTAAAATTTAAAAATTTTAATCTTTCGTACAGTTACTTTTAAAAGCTACTGTATTCTCAATGTCACTGTTTTTTACGTCTTATTTATTATGCTGGCGACCGTGAAGTTTCATTTGACAAGGTTCTGTCTTTTTTTGGTGTATACTCTGAAGTGGTGATGAAATGCTTTAACTACTGAGGAAAGTATGCTTACTTAAAAAGGGTGCCAAAAAACACATTTTCTTATCATCAATGTTTTGATTTTACTTTTACAAATTAGCCATAATATAACCATGCATAGAAGTTAACTTTAACTTTCATATTTTTAAAGCTAGCAATTAAAATTAGTCACGTTCAAAATGTGTTAATTTTAAAATTTTAGTGCTCCTAAATTAAGCTACATTAATGCTTTCCAGCCTGTCTTTCAAAAATTTGACATAGCTTTGTATCACATAATCGTTTTATCAATTTATTGAATTCTTTAAGTTTGATTACTTTATGTATAACTAATATAATAAATCGTACTTTTTTTAGGCAGTTTGGGAATAAAATGATTTCAAATGGTATTTTAAATAATTTTCAAAATAATTTGAAAACTAATGGTAAATGGTAAATAATAAACATTTTCATAAACCATCCATCCTACTAACATAGAACATTGGGCGAAAAAACTTTTATCGGTCACTTAACAAAATATTTACAATGTGAAATTACCATTTCTAAAGAGAATTTTCAAAATATGGGCATCGCTGTTTTCAAAAGCGAAATACTTTTTCGAATGTTTACTTAAATTAAATATATCATTTCTACAATCAATATAATAAATTTTGTGTACTTTTTCATATTACAATATAGGTATTTGACCATTAAAAAGTATTGAATCATTGAAGTTTCAATATCTCACTACTGCGCATTTTACATAATTGCTAGGCTGTAATAAAAAAAACTTATGTGTGCAAATTAAATCCAACACGTTTAGTTTTCAACGGCCATAATCCAACGACACAATAAATTTTGAAAGCGCAATAAAGAAACTTTATTGTAACTAATGAGTTTGAAATAAATTGGAATTTATGAAGCAAAGAGGTAATTTGTATTTTTTTCAACATTAATCTTGGCTTAGTTCATTAACGACCAGGTTTCTTAGCAGGAGTTCATTTTTCACAGCCTTAAACAATGTTTATGGAGCTTTAATAACAATAACCAGTGATGAATGGACCTCTGCGACGACTGAGAAACTAAAAACTTTACAATAATAGCCTTATATAAAGTATAGTAATCAAGTTAAAACCCGACGCCCCTTCGATCAATAATGTACTCTAAAACTGGTAAACGGCTCTGTAAAATATAATTTTATGAATGATCATACTTGCTATTGAATCTTTACATACATGGTGTATATTAAGTCTCGCACGGGGCTTATATTTTCTAAACTATAATAGATAAATCAATAAGGTTTGGTAAATCAAAACGGCACCTAAAAATATACTTTTTGAAGGAACTGTCGGTTTTCTGTCGTATCATGGGGACGTCCCACAAGAAGTCAAAAGGTAATCTGAAATAGAATTATAGGTTGATATGTACATCGAATTAGAGAGCTTTATTTGTAGAATGCTGCAAATTTGAACCGAACTCAAACGGTCAACCGAGTCAAAAATAGTAGCCGTTCAAAGATAGCTTGAATCTGCCATGTTGAATCTTTGAACGACCGCACTCGTCGTAAAAATTTGCTCTTTTGAGCTTGAATTTGCGGCATTAATCTGCTAAAAAAGATCTTTAATTTCATGCGCATATCGACCTACGCTTACGTTTAAGATTTTCTTCCGATTACTAGCGGCTGCCCTTCTGAGGAGGTAGCATTGCAAATTAAACGAATCTGTTAACTGCTTCTGTATAAATTTGAAGCATTATACTCTGCTACTAAATGTCTTTATTTATAATTAATCAACCTATGCTACTATTTGAGATTTCTTTCTGACTTCTTGTGAGACGTTCCCATGTTATGACAGAAAACTGATAGTTACTTCAAAAATTAGACTTTGATGTGTTTTGTTAATGTACCAAATCTTATTGATTTATCTGTTGTTCAGAAAATACTAGCAGTTATCCGGCGCGCGTTGCTGCGCCAACTATCATTTTGAATGATAATTCGCTCTTTACGATAAATAGTCGCCCCAAAAGATGTCATTTGAAAGCTCGTGTTATATTTTCGAATATGCTGGAGAAAATGTTTAGTCTCCCGAGATTCTCTATCCAAGTAGGTTTGAAGAGGTTTTGGAGGCTCAGTGATCGGTGGCAAATTTACTTTCCTATTTGTACAACACCCCACCAAATTTACAATTGTATTATTTCATATCAATATTAATTTAGTTAATAACTGTTATGTGTAAAAGAGTTACAAGTCATTAAATTAAATTTCACATAATATTATTTAACATATTATACCACAAACCTAAATGCAATGATTAAGAGTGATCTATATACCTGTCTACCATGTGTGCAAGTGAAATTGAAGATCTTTGAAGATTACCATTGTTAAATACACAATCTCACTCAGGGATTTTTTTTGGCAAAGGGGAAGATCAGTCCAAGAAGATATTTTAATATTTGAACTATAAATTGGTTAGAGACATCGAAATTTATATTAGCCTACTATTTCGTTTCATCTAAAATAACTTTTCATACTTAAGAAGTATGATACCATCATTATTCAAAATTTAACACAACCAATATCTAACATCATTAACCCTTTCTTTCCCAAATTTTTTTAAGGGAAAAAATATTTTGGGGTATATTTTTTTATATTTATTAAATTCAGGCCAAAAGAGCTCATTTTACCAAATTTCACAAAAAAAATTACAAACTTTTTTTCTGTTGATTATGGTATACTATGGGCATTGTAAGAACGTTGTTAAATTTATAAAAATTAACAAAATACTTAATCGTTCCCACTGTGCATTATAGTCAACAGTTTAATATTTTTGACAATTTGCAAGTATTTCCCATAGTATACGATAATCAACAATATCGTATATGTTATTTGAAATTGAATAAAACTGTTTTCTAATATTAGAGTGGCATACAAACAATAAAAACACATAAAATTGTTTGAAAGATTTAATAAAAGAATACACACATGTCTATAAAATCAAATTTTAAATAAAATGTTAATTTGGTTTTGTCGCTAGCCTAGTGGTTAGCGTCTCGGACTTCGGTGCGGGAGGGACGGGTTCAATCCCCGGCACATCCACTAAAGCCCCTGTCACACGGAGCTGGTTTTCTAGCCGCTAGTAACTTGCAGCTAGAACCAGCGGAAAACCAGCATCGTGTGACTGACTCTGCAGCCGCTAGTAGCCTAACACTCGTATGAGCTGGTATCTCCAGCCGCTGGAGGTTTTAAACGGTTTAATATTACAAGCGCTTGAAGAGCCACTTGCAGGTCATGTGACCACCCAGCTGTATAGTCTCTAGCATCATTCCAGCTCTGTCTGACAGTATCGTGCTAGTTCTCGCAATAAGAAAATGAATATATATATTAATTAAACACATTTAAACTAATAAAGAATAAATTTAAACTTTCATGTTTAGAAATTGCCGTAATTTTCTCGTTGTTACGATTGCTACATCTCACATATATTAATTAAATGAATGTGTTCTTGAAAGATAGTCCTTTTGTTATACGCCTACCACAACTTATTCGATTTTAATTAGTTAATTTACATGCCCGTAGTGGATACAAAATAATAGTGTTTAGGCCTATACAGGGTGTTGAAAATGTCTGGAACCAACATTATATCTGGTGAGTGGTTAAAGAAAAACAACTGATATTTTGTGTACGGATATACTATGGTTTTACCTATCTTTTGGTGCCTTATGACAATTTTTACCACTTATAGGGAACGTCCTGTGGAGGATGCAGTAAAAAGTTTTAATGGAAGCCTATGGTAAATGATACATCATTTTAAAGGCCATTTTTTTCTGAGTAAGGAGCCACAAGTTTCATCTCAAAAGGACCACCCTAGCAATAATGGCGACTGTTTGAAATTTAAAAATTCTGTTCCCTATGTGATTTTTTTAAATTTCAAACAGTCGCCATTTTTGCTAGGGTGGTCCTTTTGAGATGAAACTTGTGGCTCCTTACTCAGAAAAAAATGGCCTTTAAAATGATGTATCATTTACCATAGGCTTCCATTAAAACTTTTTACTGCATCCTCCACAGGACGTTCCCTATAAGTGGTAAAAATTTTCATAAGGCACTAAATGATAAGTAAAACCATAGTATATCCGTACCCAAAATATCAGTGGTTTTTCTTTAACCACTCACCAGATATAATGTTGGTTCCAGACATTTTCAACACCCTGTATATTAAAAGTATATTTTTTCCTTGCACTTTTTAATTTTATGATAGCTGATCATAGACAAAACATCAATTATTATTTTTGTTAACTACACAGTCAGTTCCAATTACATAACCAAACTTGTAAGTTGTAGCGCTAGTTCTCCAGCTTCGTCTGACAGGACTTCTAGCGCGCTGGAGAACTAGCAACTAAAGCTGCTGGATCTCGCAGCGAGAACCAGCTGCTGGAACCAGCTCCGTGTGACAGGGGCTTAAGCATTCAACACATCTCTCGTAACTTTCTTGTAAAATGCCACTGGCGTAAAAAAAATTTAGGCTAGTCTCACAGGACACCACTTGCCCTCATTATTCAGTATTGTGGTATTGTGAAACTCTAAGAAACACTTATTGTCTTTTGTAATGCACAGATGTATTTGACACTTTATGCAGCGTATTTCCCCAATTTTTGAGCACTTGGTACATCTTGCCCTGTTGTCAGACATCTCTGGCCAATGCCCAACATTATCATAGCTCAGCTCTTCTAGTGTTAGTAGTCTCTTCGTGTTTGGGCCTTCCTATTTTCTTAGACTGCTCAGTTCCAGTACTTACTGTACAGAGCTGCTGTGTATGTTTGAAATTGTAGTAATGTGTACCTAGACAGTTCATGTAGTTGGGCAGTATGACGCCGGTACAACAACCATCCATTAACTACGGCGTCATTCACACACAAGAGTACAATGCGCATATAGCCTATTTTGCTCCTGATATCTATCCGTTAGAGCGCTATAAGCATACCAAAAAGGTCCCCTTCCCCCATCCAGGTATTGTATACTTGGACAGGTGCTGTATATTATAAATCCAAAGAAAATAATAAATACTATCCTACTAGTTAAACAACAAAAAAACGCATTTCCTCGATTTTTGTCTTTAATAATAACCAATAATATTTAATTAGGCTTATAATGGATAGGCTTATTTTACGATATGTAAGTGTATAATACACCATGACGAAATTTTAACATTAATATTTGTTTTGCTTCTGTACTTTTTTGTATTCTTGAAGAGATGCTGACTTTTGTCTGCACTCAAGTAATAACGAATCCATTTTTTTTTTAGTTGTTCGATTTCTTCGTTACTCTCCTTCAATGATTGTTTCAGGTTCTAATCTCTGTCGACAGAAAGTCTCGTTCTAACAACAATTTAGCAAGGCCAATACCTTATTCCTTGAAACAAAAGGTAGAAACAGAACTAGAGCGCTTAGAAACTGCAGGAATAATAACAAAGACGGACAATTCTGAATGGGGAACACCCATAGTACCAGTAATGAAACCCAATGGTGAAATTAGAATATGTGCCGATTATAAGGTTACGGTGAACAGACAAATTCAAGACGAACACTATCCGATACCGAGAATTGAAGATATCTTCGCAAATATGAGCGGTGGCAAAATTTTCTGTACTCTGGACTTAAAGAAGGCTTACTTACACCTACAAATGGATGAAGCAAGTGCTGACATCCAAACCTTAAGTACACATAAGGGACAGTTCAGAGTTAATCGACTCATGTTTGGCGTTAAAGTAGCTCCTGGAATTTGGCAAAGAATCATGGACAAGGTCTTATCAGGTATAGAAGGCACTCAATGCTTCTTCGATGAAATAATTATCCAAGGAAAATCAGAAGAAGAGTTGCTCACTCGGTTGGAAATGGTACTTCAAAGAATAAAAATGAACGGACTAAGGTTGAACAGAGATAAATGCAAGTTTCTACACAAACAAATTGAGTACTTAGGTCACACTATAGATGCTCATGGAATCCACAAATCAGAAGATAAAGTTAAGGCTATCAGACAAGCAAGAAGACCCCGGAATGTTAGTGAACTGCGAACAACCATTATAACAGATTTATCGAGAACCTGGCAACGATTCTCAATCCGTTACATGGACTACTGAAAAAGGAGAAGAAATACAAGTGGACAGATCAATGTGAACAAAGCTTTCAGAAAGTCAAGGAGATAATTACAAATGAAATTGTCCTTACTCATTTTGATCCAGTCTTCCCTTTGGTATTGGCAACAGACGCATCTCCGGTGGGACTTGGAGCAGTACTGTCACATAGATTTCCAGATGGAAGTGAAAGACCTATAGCCTTCGCTTCAAGAACACTGACAAGACCGGAAGAGAAATATAGCCAAATTGACAAAGAGGCCACTGGAATTTATTGGGGACTAAAAAAGTTCTTCCAATATTGCTATGGACGTAAATTCATCCTTGTAACGGATCACAAGCCGTTATAGGTCGGCCGCTTAGAAAGCGACCTCCTCCAGCATTGGTTTAGCATTAGCGCGCAGGTCGTTTTCTAAGCGGCCGAACTATAGTTACAATATTCAATCCTGATAAAAACCTACCTTCTATGTCAGCTACACGACTTTTTAACTATTCACACTTCTTATCAGGTTTTGACTACAAAATAGAGTTTAGACGAACAAATGATCATGGAAATGCGGACTTCCTTTCAAGATTCCCTATTGAAAAACATTCAAATACCAGCATGGACCAGACTGATGTTTTCTATATGAACCAAATTGCAACAATCAACCTAAACCATAACCTAATTGCTCAAGAAACGAAAAAGGATGAAAACATGCAACACTTGCTAATAGCTTTGGAAACTGGAAAATCGCTGGAGCACCATGGTTATCATAACGGTGAGCTGTGTCTACATGATGGTTGTATCATGAAAGGTTGGAGAGTGATGATTCCCAGATCTTTACAAAAACATGTCCTCGAAGAACTACATTTTGGTCATCTAGGAATGGTAAAACCAAAGCCTTAGTACGAAGCTTTTGCTACTGGAAAGGTTTGGACAAAGATATAGAAGATAACATTTCAAAATGCAGACAGTGCAGGGAAGAACAAAATTTACGGAAGAAAGAAATTAACCATCCCTGGGAGCCAGCAAGTGAACCTTGGGAGTGGGTCCACATAGATTTTGCTGGGCCAACCAACGGAAATTACTTTCTGTAGGTAGTAGACGCATTCAGCAAGTGGGTTGAAGTCATACCTACGAAGAGTATTACATCTTCATGGACAATCAGAGAGCTGCGTAAAATATTCACCACCTTTGGACTACCCAGTGTTATAGTCTCTGATAATGGTCGTCAGTTCACCTCTTCTGAATTTAGTAACTTTTTGAAGAAATGTGGAACTTTGCACAAAATGACAGCTCCTTACCATCCTTCTTCGAACGGCCAAGTCGAACGCTTCGTACAAACGATAAAGAAACTTATCAACTGCATGTCAGACGAACCTGGTACACTGGAAGAAAAGCTTCACCAACTGCTGATGAAACTACGTCAAGCTCCGAATTCAACTGGTAACAGCTCATACTTCTCGATGTTCAATAGAAGGATCCGCACATACTTAAGTTTACTCTTACCTAAGACAAAGGAAGAAACAAAACAACCCAAAGGAATAGTGAGATACTTCAAACCAGGCGAACGAGTACAAGTACGGAACTATTCCGGGAAATGTAAATGGGGTTACGGAAGTGTCCAAAGTAGAGACGGTCACATTCACTATTTTATCAAGATGGACGATGGACAAATTTGGAGACGCCACATTGATCAAATGTTGCGTACGAAAATTTAAGGGGAGGCCATTGTTAGGGGGAGACCACTGTTATATATTTTGCTTCTGTACTTTTTATATTAATCCATGTGTTAATTATTTACAATTTTCATATCATAATATTTACTATTCAGTTATGAATAAATAGTTATGCAAGTTACAAGTGTTTAAGTATTTATTAATATTATTCATTTTACTTTTAGTTATAAAACGACTTTGATGTGAAAGAAAATAATGTTAACAATCAAATAAACATCACTGTTTTACTGATGGGGTCAAACGAATAAAATAAAGAGCTTATACAACAAAAAAACGCATTTCCTCGATTTTTGTCTTTAATAATAACCAATAATATTTAATTAATAGATAGGCTTATTTCACGATGTGTAAGTGTATAATACACCATGACGAAATTTTAACATCTATCTATATATTAATTACGTAAGCCGATTCTCAAGTCAAAATTGTGGGCGACTGGGAAGTCGTAGAACGACGAGAGAGGGCTCAAATTAAAGGTCTCGATCCTGTGACGGCGGGAAAAATAGTGAAATCCCCTAAATTTTAACACAAAATTGGATATAACGTAAAATGTTCTGCATAAGAAATTCATTAAAAGCAATTTACTGCTGATTTTTGTTCACTTCAATACAGCTTATCGTGATTGATCATCAATCCCAGCGAGCACATAATAATCAAACCAGTAAGCAATATTACATTTGGATTACTCATTTGCCAGTCAATTCTGCAATGTACTGTATACTATATAAAACCAGGGATAACCTTAGGCCTACCTATAATAATAAATACTTTTTATTTACGTCTTAGAATGTCGAAATCAATTATTTTACTGTGCAATTGGCAAACTTGTGTATTTTTAAGTAAATTAGTTAAGCGTATGATAAGTAGTAGAATCATAGGAGATGGCTCAAATCAAAGGAATTAAACTTAGAATGGCTGAAAAAAATTATGAAGTTTTTTTCTTTTATCTTAACGGTTATTGTTGTGTTGAGGGAATGTTCAACATGAAATAACCACATTGACTAAATAATAATCTATTCAAGATTGTTGAAAAGTTCTGTTTTGTTTTGATTTCAAAACATTTGTTAAAGATTTATCCTACACTTTTTTGTAAACTTACTAACATTTTTAATTTGAGATTTATTGTAGTGTTTACAAAAGGAGCATGCACTTAGAAATAATAACTGGGTCGGGGTGCTAATTTAGCGGTTTTAACTAAGAACTAAGCTTATCTCAACACACCTTTATTTGCGTTTTCATATATGACGAAGACAATTTCCAATATTTTAATCAGGAAAGCCTTTTTATTATCAAAAGACCAAAGCTACCTTAGTAAACTAATATTTATTCACAAACATGTTTGCTGCCTTTGGCAGAGTTAAACCTTTGGAGTAATTTAAATTATTTATTAAAAATAACATCAACAAAAGCAAACAAAGACAAACAACAAACTATTTTTTACACAAAAGATATGTTGTACTGGGATATATATCTGATATATGTATTAGATTTATTTAAGTTTGTTTATACTGTATTACAATAGTTTGTTTTACATTTGAGCTTTTCAGGGACTTATGTCCCTTCAAGCCACTAGTTAATATTATTCATGTTACTTTTGGTTATAAAACGACTTTGATGTGAAAGAAAATAATGTTAACAATCAAATAAACATCACTGTTTTACTGATGGGGTCAAACGAATAAAATAAAGAGCTTATGAGTATGTCCCTTGATGTTAATAGTCCTTTTAACCAATCAAATCTATATCAATTATTTAATTAATTTTCTTACTTTGATAAATATTTGAAACCCGTTTGTCAATAAACTGGTTTTTGTTTGTCGTATGTTTGAAAGTGAAAACTTTTGATTTAATAAGTTCTTTTTCCCAATTGCTGTGTGATAAATTATGCCTTTTAGCGAATTTCCCATATAGGGAATAAGCTATTACCGTAGTACTCATGGTAAGACCTGGACGCGGAACAGTTTTTTTTTCGTTTTGAGGTCCCTAGAGGCCAAAAACGCCATCCGTTCAAATTCATATATATATACAGGGTGATTGATATAAGTGTGCCAGCCGTTTTATTCGAAAACTATAAGAGATATCAAAAAAAGTTAAATGGTAAGTGCCTTGGATTTTTCATTTAAAAAATTGTAGTCAAGTCAAAAAAATTATTTTAGCTGCCATTTTTCCAATATGGCCGCCAACTTAGATTTTTCTTATGAAACACCCTGTATTTTATGATGTATTCTAATAGAAAATGTAATTTTAAGACGATTTTATTCTTGTGATTTTTTTCATAAACCTAACCGTTTCAAAGATAATAATAGTTTAAGTTGTGAAATTTTGAATGGTTTTCGAATAAAACAGCTGGCATGCTTGCTTAGGCCTTTATCGAAACTCTTTCTCATGCAGAAATTTCAAAACTTTAACCATTATTATCTTTTAAAACGGTTAGGTTTATGAAAAAAATCACAAGAATAAAATCGTCTTAAAATTACATTTTCTACCAGAATACATCATAAAATACAGGGTGTTCCATAAGAAAAATCTAAGTTGGCGGCCATATTGGAAAAATGGCAGCTAAAATAATTTTTTTGACTTGACTACAATTTTTTAAATGAAAAATCCAAGGCACTTACCGTTTAACTTTTTTTGATATCTCTTATAGTTTTCGAATAAAACGGCTGGCACACCAATCACCCTGTATACAGGGTGTCCATAAAAAACGTTTCAGGACTTTGGGAAATGAATCCCCATACTAAAAGGAAGAAAAAAGTTTATGGGAAGGTATGTCCGAAAATGCATATTTACCCAGATATCCGCCATTTTGTTTTTTATACAAAAATATTTTTATCTGTGAAGTTTTTTATTCGATGATTATGAAATTTGGTAAACATGTTAACATACACAATACCTATAATAGAAAAAATAACAAAGTTGATCATATCGTAAATTTCAAAATGGCGGCCATATCTTTTTTTTAAACTTAAATAACTCAAAAACTGCTAATTTTATGAAAAAATGTCAAGGATACTTCTTTTTAGCATTTTTAATTCCCTATCAAACAATACCAAGATCAAGAAGATCGGACAAAAGATAGCTGAAATATAACGTTTTTTATTTAAAAATAAGGCAAAGTTAGGCGGGGAACCCTTAATTTTTGCCTTATTTTTACACAAAAAACGTTGTATCTCAGTTATCTTTTGTCCGATCTTTTTGATCTTGGTATTTTTTGATAGGGAATTAAAAATGCTAAAAAAATTATTCTTGACATTTTTCATAAAATTAGCCGTTTTTGAGTTATTTAAGTTTAAAAAAATTAAATGGCCGCCATTTTGAAATTTACGATCGGATCAACTTTGTTATTTTTTCTATTAAAGTTATTGTGTATGTTATCATGTTTACCCAATTTCATAATCATCGAATAAAAAACTTCACAGATAAAAATATTTTTGTATAAAAAACAAAATGGCGGATATCTGGTTAAATATGCATTTTCGGACATACCTTCCTACAATATTTTGTCTTCCTTTTAGTTTGGGGATTCATTTCCCAAAGTCCTGAAACGTTTTATGGACACCCTGTATATATTTATATGTTTATATATTTATATATATATACAGGGTGAATCTTCTAAGCTGTCCTAAACAGATTACAGACGAACGGCTTGACATACAGCTATGAAAAAAAACTTTTCCCCACTAATTCATACCCAAGTAACAACGTAAAAATATTTTTACCATTTTTAAAATACAGGGTGTAAAGATAGGCGGTAGGTTTAAATTTAAAAGTTGTTTGTTTTTACAAGACCTTAAAAATGATACACAATTTTACATATGTTGCCATTTAAAAATTTTCATTTACAAGGCTACCAACTAAAAAAAAAATTAAAATCATAGAAAAAATATTTAGTTTTTAAAATGTTGACTTGTCGTATATCAAATTAAAGCTGAACCTACGAGGATTAAGAATTTTCAAACAGAACGAAAATAAGTTTAGTGGTTGTCAAGATACAGGGTATTCTGTAAGTATCAACACTTTCTATAAAAACGGCCGCCATTTTGAAACGGACAAAGATAAATGAGTTCTGTTTTCACTAAATTGTTTGTCTAGTATAGAGCTTTAAAATGATACATAACATGACATATGTTTACATTTGAAAACTCTGAGATTCGAATCCATGACTCTCAGTTTCTTGAACACCCTGTATTTTAAAAATGGTACAAATATTTTTAAGTTGTTTCTTGGGTATGAATTAGTGGGGAAAAGTTTTGTTTCATCTCTGTATGTCAAGCCGTTCGTCTTTAATCGGTTTAGGACAGCTTAGAAGACTCACCCTGTATATGTGTGTGTCCGTTAGCACAATAACTCGAGCAAAAATGATCCGATTTTGATGAAATTTGGTACAAACGTGTAAACCTACGTTTATTCGAACGACGAGTTCGCGATCCAGCATGATCGGACCATTGGAACGGGGGTTTACGGGGGGTTTTATGGGGAAAAAATAGGTTTTTCCCATTTTTGACCCAAAAAACATCAAATTTAGCAATTTCTTTTCAAACCATTTTGTAGAGCTTAAAAAAACAAATAATTTAGTATATTGAAGCGTTATTATGCGCCTAATGGTTACGGATAAAATTCCAAAAACTTGTAAATTTAAAATTCCCATGTTATTCTTATGGAGAATAAGTAAACTGTTGTAGTTTGCTTGTTTATGAACATATTTTG